CCACTGGGGGGTGATTTCTTGCTTTCTGTCTGTCTCTCTTTCTGGTGAGTGCACGAGCCCTACAGTGAAAATCTCTCAAAAAAAAAAAAAAAAAGATTCCTTTAAGAGTGTTATAGAATGTATAAGATAGGGAACCAGCAGTTAGCGTAATGGCTATGTCGCTGGACTCCCACGTAGTTGACCACGGTTCGCGTCCCGGACCCGGTAGCTTAAAACTCATACTGGGCATGTGTGTGTGCATGCCCAAGATCCCGAGAGGAGAATGGAGGAGAAGGGATTGTGGCATGATTCCTCGCTTTCTGTCTCTATGTCTCTGTCTGTCTGGTGAGCGCATGTGCCCTATAGCGAAAAAAAACTCTCAAAAAAAATGTATAAGATATATGCTGCTTTAAATTTCTAAACATTTGAATTTTAAAGTATATCTTGTCAATGGGACTGTGGGCTTACATTAAAATATAACCAAATGCCTAGGAAAAAGAAAAAGAAAACCTAAGTTGTTATCGCTATTTCTCATTGTAGTCATTCATTTTTACAAACATTTGAAAACCTGTTTTACTAGATGCTGGTCCTACAGCTATGAAAGATGGTCCTTGTCCTTAAGGTACTGTCTCTGAAAGGACTTGCAGTGTGTGTGTGTGTGTGTGTGTGTGTGTGTGTGTGTTAGAATGAGAATGTGTGTACATGTCATAGGTGATAGGGTGTATGAAAAAAGAAGATTGTAATATAAATTTTAAAATAGGTGAGCTTATGCATAGGATGAGCTAATAGATAGGGTAAACACCAAACTCAGAGGCAAGAGGAGCAGGGAAGGGTCCCTGGAGGAGTTATATTTGAACAGTCTTGAGTTGTAACAAAGATCCAAAAGGACCTTGTGTGCTAAGGTGAGCATACAAACAAGGAACTTAAGAGACAGTTGTCCTGATCACAATTGCTTTTTTTTGGAGAGGTTTTTGGTATAGGGTGCGTGTCCTCGCCAGAAAGACAGACAGAAAGCGAGAAATCACCCCCCCAGGGTGGATGGCCATGCCGCAGTCCCTTCTCCATTCTCCTCATGGGATCTTGGGCACACACGTACACGTGCCCAGCATGAGTTTTAAGCCACTGGGTCTGGGACTCAACTGTGATCGACTATATGGGGGTCCAGAGACATAGCCATGAGCCAACTGCTGATCCCCACAATTGCTTTTTTTTTGGAGAGGTTTTTGCTATAAGGCATGTGCACTCTCCAGAAAGCAAGAGACAGAAAGAAAGAGACAGAAAGCGAGAAGTCACCCCCCAGGGGGTTGGCCACGCGGCAAACCCTTCTCCTCCATTCTCCTCTCAGGACCATTGGCTCTCCCCCACACATGCCTGGCGTGAGTTTAAGCCACCAGGTCCGGGACTCGAACCATGGTCGACTACATGGGAGTCCAGTGACATAGCCATTATGCTAACTGCTGGTCCCCCACAACTGCTTTTTGAAAGCTTAATGTGGCTATGAAGTGTTCTGTACTGTAGTGTACAAAAACTTCTTTCTGCCTTTGTGCCTTATTTTTCTTTACTTCAGACATCAGTGTTTATGACTTCTTCTCATACTCTGTTACTACTTATTTCAATATCCAGTTCAGGTTTCATTTCTTTTCTTTTTTTTTTAAATAGTTGTTACTTTTTAAATTATTTTATTTATTTTTTTCACGTGAGTTTTGCCAAAGGAAGAGAGACAGAGAGAGGGAGAGGGAGAAAGCAAGCCACCAAGTTAAGGACTCGAACCGTGGACAGTCATGTGAGAATTCAAACACCTTAACCACCACGTCACCTGCTGGGCCCCAGGTTTCATTTCTTCTGTGAAGCATCCTCCAATTATTTTAGCCCCCACTACTTATTCCTTCTTCTGAAATCTTACTAGAAATGGCACTGCACAGTTTGGTCCTCACTGTTTGATGCATGCGCTGTGTCCCAAAGTAGAGTGTACGTATAGGAAATATTTACTATACGTGTTAAGACGTGTTCAGTACAAAAAGATGTTGTCTGATCCCTTTGTATTTTGTTTTTCAGGACAGGGGCAGATTATGGGCAACAGTCTTTTCCATTAATCTGTCATGATGGCAAATGAGGGCTGTCCCAAGGCCAGTGATAATTTTTTTTCATCAGAAAAACATGCCCAAGTCATCTTGGCTCAGATCAATAAAATGAGAAATGGACAGCATTTCTGCGACGTGCAGCTTCAAGTTGGGAAGGAAACGTTCAAAGTTCATCGGCTGGTTCTGGCTGCCAGTAGTCCTTACTTTGCAGCTTTGTTCACTGGAGGAATGAAAGAGTCCTCAAAAGATGTTGTAGAGATTCTAGGAATTGAAGCTGGAATCTTTCGGATACTTCTAGAATTCATTTACACAGGTATGTTACATGAATCCGTTGCTTTGAGTGAAGAATGATGCAGTGACTCATGTACTACTGTGGGGACATAGAGCGATCTCACATATATGAGGGGGTCTTCAGAAAATTCTTGGAAAATGGGTCTTATGAAAAAATGATGCACTGGGGCCAGCAGGTGGCGTGGTGGTTGAGGGCGCTGGACTCCCACATGGCCAACCACGGTTCGAGTACTGGACCTGGAGGCTTGCTTTCTCTCTCTCTCTCTCTCTCTCTCTCTCTCTGTCCCTCC